CTGGCTTGCCAAAGGACAGAACCCAACACCCTACTCACTGCTCCAGCCTCAGTGAGAAAACATGATCTCATTTATTGATATTCATAGTATGGTTTTGCATCCCAGAAATGGCACTCAGTGACACTTACGGCAATTAACCATTCAATGCACTTAAATGACATTAAAATTAAGAAATGGATAAAAATCTGAATAGCGCACTGAGAGAAGTATAAGCAAACCTCCCCCACATCATCAGAGCAGTATAAAATGTTAGTCCACATCATTCTTGCAGGCCAGTCCTGTCCAGTTGTTGTTGGGCTCTACTTCCCAACAGCCTTAGACAACATGAGCAATGCTTTGAAAACCCCAGAATAATAATAATAACATGACAGAGGGAAGGAGATTAGGTGAAAATCTGGGCTGCACCTGCCTCACACAGAACAAAGTTTCAAGTCTCATGTGTACTAGACCATGTTTTCATTAATGTATTTTCATTTATTCATATCCTGGTTTTCAGCCAAGTTTGGCTTCCAATATATGATCAATACGATCTGAAGAGAAACCAGTCTCCTGGAGATGCCATTGGTTATGAAACTACGTCACCAGAGGTCCTAAGAGCCATTTAATACATCACGATGTCTGGACAGTTTTATCCTAAAGTACCTGCTACTATGGGACACAGGTGGCGCTGCGGGTTAAACCACAGAGCCTAGGACTTGCCAATCAGAAGGCTGGTGGTTTGAATCCCCACGACGGGGTGAGCTCCTGTTGCTCGGTCCCTGCTCCTGCCAACCTAGCAGTTCAAAAGCACATCAAAGTGCAAGTAGATAAATAGGTACTGCTCCGGTGGGAAGGTAAACGGTGTTTCCGTGTGCTGCTCTGGTTCGCCAGAAGTGGCTTAGTCATGCTGGCCACATGACCCGGAAGCTGTACGCCGGATCCCTCGGCCAATAAAGCGAAATGAGCGCCGCAACCCCAGAGTCGGCCAAGACTGGACCTAATGGTCAGGGGTCCCTTTACCTTTACCTTTTAACTGCTACTATGTTTCATTAACTGTGTTGTGTTCTGATCCATATATACGATGCACTTTTTCTATGCCAATAAAGGAGATTGATTAACTTAACTTGATCAATTCAAATCCACAAAAAGGTACACAGTATTAAATAGGTGGGATGGTCTTTGTGGCAGTTTGCTCTGGTGCCTTGCTGTTGGTGACCCAACTCAAACTCCAGGCTCTAACCTTCAGAGCAGTCTTCTGCAAAATGTTGCCCTCTGGATGTTTTGGACTACATCACCCATAAGACAGAGCTGATGCAAAATAGAGTTCCAAACATCTGGAGGGCACTGTTTTGGAAAAGGCTGCTTCAGTGGAAAGGAGCAGAAGCACCTGTCGATGGACTCAGGAGCTGATGGTGGCAAAGGTCTGAACCAAGTTGTCCCTTTGTTGGTCTGCAGAATATTCTAGTCCCTGGGTGACTCAACAGCCCTTCCCCAATACCTGCATACCAAAACTCTCTGCCACTGCCCCCATCAGATCGATCCAGGACAAGACTCAACAAGCAAAACCCAACAAGCAGGGCAAGGTAGTGGAGACAAGGTGAGGAGGGTGAAAAAAAGGTGGGAGGCTGCAAGATTACGATCAGGGTGCTTTTACAGCTGCCTTTTGCACAACTCACTGAATCCGGCAGATAGCATTTTGAAAACAACTGTGTAAACAAAACTTTGCATTGACAAACAACATCAATGGGAAGCTGCCATAGACCTCTTCAGACTACTTATGGCTCTAGTGCAGTATTGTCTGCTGTGACTAGTAACCTTTCCTGTCTCCTGGATGTGCCATTGGTAGAACCTGAGACCTTCCTGCATGCAGAAATGTGCATTCTCCTACTATGGTAGAAACATACCGCAGATTGCAAAAAGCATCGGTGCAATTGACTGGGAATGTGCCTCTGGGTAAGTAGTGTATTGAGATGAATGGGATCCGACTAGGGTGCACTCCCATTAACGTCTTGCTGGATTATCAGGGCACGAGCCCTTGCAGAAAACAATGGGTAGAAAACCAGGTGAACAAGCTGTTAAAGAAACATGCCATTGACTACAGGAGCAATAGACCTATGAATATGCTGCATATATGCTGCATATGCATGGAAGTACACAAATGTCTCCAGGGAGGATCACTGATCCCAAACAAACAGCGGCCAGTGCTGCACACGCAGAGCTGCGCCCAGAGGCCCAGCATGCCCCAAGAGGCATGGCACACCTGCTAGCGTTTTGAAATGCCAAGGAAAACTGGTACCGTGCCTGAAGCTGCCTCAGCGGGATCTTAACTGATAAGGCAGAGTACGAATATAGGGAACAAATGCATGCACATGTATATACCATGAACTCTATCATGGACCATGATGGAAGCGAAGGGAGCAGACATATAGTTATGCACTCAGAAGAACTTTGCTTAACCCTACGTGGGTGATGTGTCCCGTCCTGCACTGGTAATGCAGGGGCAAAACATTGCACGGTGCTCCCTTTATGTCCCTGTGGTTTCCCCCCAGATGTGTTGCTGGAAATGAGTGTGTATCACTCCTGCTGCTGTTTGAATAGTGGTGGTGACGGGGAGCAGCACCCAGACAGAAACGAGAAAGCTTTGGAAGGGGGCAGACATCTCAAAGAAGCAGATGAGATCCTGCCGTAATTCAGATCGCAAACCCAAAAGGCACATTTGAGGGCAAAGGACACAAAGCTCAGCGTTCATTGAAATGGGCGGGCGGGGGGGGGGAGCTGCGGTTGTGGTTGTTGCTCTGTTTTATTTATTGCGTAGATCAAATTTTCATTGTGATGTCTAATTCTTTTTTGCTCGCGTATTTCTGTTTGGTTACAACCTGCATTTGGTTGTCTTATTAATTTAATAAAGAATTTGTTTCTGTGTGGGTTTGTTGTTTTCATTTGCTACTACATTCTTTGTTTTTTGCATTTTTATTTTGTAGACTGCCCTGCGATCCTTGGATGAAGGGTGCTATTGAAATTAAATTTAAAAATTGTTGTTATTGATAACCTTATTTCTGTAATTTTGGAGTTGCTTCTCAATACTATGTTGTAATGTTATAATCTGCTCCGGAACCATAAGGTGAAGGGTAGCTTAATAAACAACAACAACAACAATCACTATGACTACTACTGTTACTGTTACTTATTGTGCCTTTTCTCCCGAAGGAGCCCAGGGCAACAAACACACAAATGTTGAAACAATTGAAACATCCAAAAGCAACCCCACCACTTCTATTCTTTCCAGCTGAGTTTGTGTGGGAGAACTTAAGAATGCAAGAAGACTGATTAGACTAAAGGTCCATTTAGCTCAGCATCCTGCTTCTTCCAGTGACCAAATGGATGTGTGTGAGGAGCCCAGAAGCAGCAACCAAAGACAATAGCCCTCTGAACTTGGGTGATGCCATCATGACTAGTAGCCATTGAATGATCCATTTCCCATGAATTTTTGGTCTGACCCCCTTTCGAAAAGTCTTCTAAATTAGTGGCCATTGCCAGATCTTATGACAGGTGCCAGAAACGGCTTGACCACACCTGCCCACTCCAGAAGAATGTTGCCTGGCCCCCGAATTGTCAGCCCAGGGTGCATCCAGGTGACCTGTTTACTGAGCACGCACCTTGATTTGTTTTCAGGGAGATTAGATGATGGGGCTTGTTTCAATTAGCATTCCTTCCGATTTGTTTGTCGAGAGGTTAGATGACGTTGCATCAAACGCTGTCTATACTTCCCAGGGCATTTCCCCATCCCTTTCCTTATCACAAACTGTCCAACCTGGCGTGCTTCTTGCTCAAGACCTCCCAAACAACTAAAACTGTGCAACCTGAATTTGCAGGTGTGATTAAATCCCAGCTGAAAACAGAGTAGGGGAGTGGGAAACACAATCTGAAGCAACAGAACTTTATGGGAAGCTACTCTAAGTTGTAGGGCCTGAGATGCTGTCCCCCATCATCCCTCAAGAAAACTGATTTGATCACTTGTCATTTGTCAACAACAATGACAAAATGGAAAGACATAGCTTGCAGAAGGGAAAGAGGTGAAACTAACTAATTCTAGTCTATATTTCCATCCTTTCTTCTCCATGTGTTGAGGTATCTGGGCTCTTGGAATTGACTGGCCCCTGCAGAATGTTATTTTTGGACCACCACAGAGTTTATTTGGGGTCTTGGGCAGAACACCGCTTTCCTTTTAAGCTAAAACAAAGATTTCCCAAGGGAAACATGTGTACCTAGAATGCTTCTAAGCACTGCGTTCATTTTTGAACCAGCACCTACAGCTGAGGCAATCTCCCACCTCTGTTGTGAGATGCGAAAAGCAAGAAGCTTCATGAAATGTCCAGTCTTGCCTGACTCCAGGCTACCAGATGGGTATAAACACCAGGATAATATTTGCATTCGGTGAGAATCTCTCGTCATTTCTAGTTCAGCTCAATGCCCCCCGGGGTTCCGAGAAAGCCAGGCCAAATCTGGACCAAAATGCCAGATGCAGAAATGATTAATCCTCTTAAACAGCTGCATGATGTGTGTTTGTATGAGAGAGACCTAATTTGGCAGTTAATTAAAAAAAATCTGCTAAATTAATTGTACCAGCATGACAGCAGGGAAAGTAGTGCCAACACTCAAGTCTAAATTTGCAGAAAATTAAAGACATAAATAAATCTGTGTATTGGTCATTTGAGTGCTAATGTGCATTGAGTTCCTAAGGAGCTAAATGGATCTTCTGTGTTAGGAGGCATTATGCCTTTGAATACCAGGAGGGATCAATATACAGTGGACGGCTGTTCCCTCCATGCCTGGAATATAAGTTTCAGTCTCAAATAACCTGCCTAAAAGCTATTTTTGGAAACTGAATACTGAGTCAAACAAACAGAGCAGTTAGAAAAACATGAAGCTTCCTTATTCCAGAGTCAGGCCAATGGCCTATCTAGTTCAGTACTGTCTGCACTGACTGGTAGCAGCTCTTCAGAGTCCTGCTCAACCCTACTTGGAGAAGCCAGGGATCGAACCCAAGACCTTCTGCATGCAAAGCATGTGATCTATCACTGAGCCACGATCCTACCATGGCCAGTTCTTAATTTCTCCTTTGCACCTTCGCTCAAGACAATTTTTTCTGCCGTCCTAAGCATGTTGCCTCATAACCAAGTCCCACAGACCTCAATGGGATTTACTTAAAAGTAAGCTCACTTGAGCTGGACCATAAAGAAGGCTGATCGCCAAAGAATGGATGCTTTTGAATTTTGGTGCTGGAGGAGACTCTTGAGAGTCCCATGGACTGCAAGAAGATCAAATCTCTCCATTCTTAAGGAAATCAGCCCTGAGTGCTCACTGGAAGGACAGATCCTGAAGCTGAGGCTCCGATACTTTGGCCACCTCATGAGAAGAGAAGACTCCCTGGTAAAGACCCTGATGTCGGGAAAGATGAAGGGCACAAGGAGAAGGGGACAGAGGACGAGATGGTTGGACAGTGTTCTCGAAGCTACCAGCATGAGTTTGACCAAACTGCGGGAGGCAGTGGAAGACAGGAGTGCCTGGCATGCTCTGGTCCATGGGGTCACGAAGAGTTGGACACGACTAAACAACTAAACAACAACAAGCATTTTGCGAAGTCCATGGGGACAATCCTTCTTCTGTACACTTCCTGAATGCAAGTCCCATCTAAACAGATCCATTTCGACAGAGTTTGTGCAAGAGACGTTCCTACTGGATTATGCCCAGGGAAGAGGGGTCAGCTAAGGATTTTTGGAGAGAGCGCTCCCAGTTTTCCTACCTAACTGGATCCACCCCACTCCCCAGCTTGGTGTGCACATGCCAAGGGTGGTGAGTGCAATGAGCAGGGCTGGATCCCAGCAATAGATGCTGGGAGAGGAGCTTGCTTCCCTCCCTTGCTGGCCTGGCACCAGCCAGGCATGAGTCTGCTTTGCATAGCCTTGGCACCAGCTCTGCGACTTTGCCTGGGGAGGTTTCCCTGGAGAGGAGGAAGGAGAGAGAGAGAGTGGAGCAGCTCAACAGTTCCCGATGGAACTTCAGACTTTTTATTTTTATTAAAACGGTGAGATTTTGTGCGTGTGTGTTTATCACTCAATATCACTAGCAAATCAGACGATAAATCAATCAACTCTCTTTCAAACAGACAACATACACGCCACCTCCTACTTATGTCACAATCCCAGCTCTGGGATATTGATGAGCCTTGCAAGATGGTGAGGGCGGCTACTTTCGATCAGCCTTCCCTCAACCTGATACCCTCTGGGTATTTCACAATACGGCTCCCATCAGCCCCAGGCAGCATGGCCAGTGGCCTGGGATTGTGGGCCAGCAACAACTGAAGGGTCACAGGTCCCCACCCCCATAACCCTTATTGAGTGTGATCTCTGTTTTCTTCCCTGTATAGTGAATAAAATGAACCGACTGCAAGTGCTGGAAAGTGTTGATTCATAGCACAATCCTAACCATGCCTACTATCTTTTAAGTGCCTGATTGGTATAGAATGGGCTTCCTCTAAGATGGGTGGTGATTCATGGAAGTGAGCATATAAAGCATCATCAAACTGGCCAATTCTAGCATTTAAATGGTCTGCCACTATCACTGAGGCTACAGGGAACTGATTTAAGGGTAGCCAAATTCTGTGTGTTTGCCATAAAACTTAGGGAACAAGCTGTGCTATCATAATACCAGGGAAAAAACAATGCTATCCAGGGTTGTAAAGACTGCAGAGAGAATAATTGGGTGCACTCTTCCCACCTTAGATCAAATCTATGCTGCCAGGTGCCATAAGAAAGCGGCAGAGATAGCGCAGGATAGTACTACCCCGGAAATGATCGCTTTCAGCTTCTGCCTTCTGGAAGAAGGTATAGGGTTATAAAGGCCAGGACTAGCCGCCTGAGAAACAGTTTCTACACAAATGCAATTCTGGTTCTAAACGCAGCATAAGGGGTCTCTATAGTATAGTGTATTTTAAAATGGGGTTTCAGAGTTTTTAGGGGTTTTTGAATGTTTTATGTAGTTTTATGTAGTTTTTCAATTTCATTGTTCTGCATGGGACAATGACAATAAAGATATCGTATATCATATATCGTATATCTAATGATTAAGGCCTTAAATGATAATTTCAGGTTATATGTTAGTGACTAAGTTTTAATTTACATATATTTTTAACTGTAGTGTCCCTGTTATACCTAATTGCAAATTCAAATGTACCCCTACCGTGTTTTATGACTTCCTTGATATTGTATGTGGGCTGGAACTGGTCTGTGACTGAAATAATAGATTCAAATTCAAACCATGTCTACTATCATGGACTGGTTGGATGCAGAGGAATGGTGGGAGGAACCTAGCTGGGGAACCCCCAAGGAAATAGGGCTCAGAGCTCAGAGGGGATTGGTGGTGGGACAACGGTGAGGGAGAAGAGGGACCAGACTGGGAAGAGGAGGTGTCGGAAGCTGAAATGGTAACAGGGCTTAGTGAGCTGGGAAGGTCAGTGGCAGAGAGAAGACCAGAATCAGTGGCAGAAGCTGAAGCAGAGGAGGGAGAGGAGGGAGATAAAAAAAGCAGGAAAGGCAAGCTGAACCGGTCAGCAGAGCTTATCTGCACAGAGGAAAGTCAAGGGCCATCACAGCGAAAAAGGAAAGTTGTGATGTTGGAGATCTGTGATCCTGTCTCCTAAGTTCTTGCATTTTGTTTTTGCTTACTCCAACCTAGAAGATGGGGAAACTTTGTCACTGGATGCCCATCAGCCCCAGTCAGCATGGCCAATGGAAGGATTGGGTGAATCTGTCCATTTCAGTGTTTCATTTTTCCAGTTACTATCATTTCCACATTTAGTTAGTTAGTTATAAGAAGTCTTCATGAAAATTCAAGGGCATTTTGGTGCAAATTTCTCCTAGTATACACATTTTCGTATGCATTTTTGGCTAACATACACATTTCATTTGTAAAGCAATTTCCAGCAAAACATATTGCATTTTTGTATGTTCACTAATGCATGCATCCATATGCACATTTCACTGCATTTCTGTACAAGTTACTTGGCTGGAGAATGGCAATGCAAAATTCAGAAATGTGAATTTCAAAGCCTGGCTGCATTTTGGTCTGTGGGTTGTTTCAGAAAGTGCACACACACACACAACTTTATATTCTGTGTTCAATGCACACTGAGATCTTGCTCTTTCTACTGAGCCCACACACAATTTGGACTGTCCCCGCTTTATATCCCTGATAAAGTGCATTTTCGCAAACTAGTTTCATTTTGAAAATAAAAGCTCATTGCTGATTGATTCTACTTTACAATGTGTTGCCTTTGAAGGCAGTGCCCACTCACCTGGGGAATGGGGAGAGGGCAGCATTTATGGCACAGCACAGCTGCAGCTGGTCCCCGGCGGGGAACCATCCTCTACATGGCCAGGGGATGGAACTGTCACTTGGCACCACCCTCCTTCAGCCATGCTGGGCACACATCTGGGGCCAACCTTGCCTGCAAGGCCAATCAGGGCAGGGGGCAGGGGGGCAGGGCCCTGCTGCCCCTTCCATATTTAAGAGGGTGACCATGTGCAATCTGCCTTCTTTGCTGACTGTCAAGAGATTTTTTTATCCACCCACCCATTCTGCTAGGGGCCCTCTCAACGGGAGAACAGGCAAGTTGGCATAAGGATCTTGCTAGGGTTTACTTGGCTGTCATATTCAGGGCCAGAGGGGAATTTTCTCCTGTAAGCAAATTGGCTGGCTTGCAGGTTTTCACCTACTTCATAGCAACTATCACAATTTTGGAAGATAAGGCATTGGGCTGGATCTTTAGTCCCTATGGGCTAATGGCGTCCAGGAGGACCAATAGGTCAAAACACCTCTCCCAATGGCAGCTTGTGCCAGGTTGTGGCACTCAAATCCATGTCGGGGGCGAGTCTGCAGCACAGAGTTGACCCCACAGAGTTCCTATCAGGCGGGCTGCTTGGTGCTGGATACATGCCCAATGCCTTAGCCAAGCCTACTTGCATCTGTAATAATAAAACTGTGACCTAATTCAACCCAATACCAATCTCCTGTGTTCATTTCCTTGGTTTCTCCCCACACTGGCCACGAACATCTTGCACCTGTGGTGGCAAATGGAGGCAGTCCTAACCGGTGTGTGTGTGTGTGTGTGTGTGTGTGTGTGTGTGTTGTATCCATACCAGCCCAACAGCATATGCTGTGGGTGGGTGCGCAATCACCAGTTCCTTTTTCCTTGATCTGGGGCAGGTGTGGTAAGAGATAGGTGCAATAACCTAACCAAGGGGAGGGGTTTCACCCACCCACCCACCCACCCTTCTGGACAGTAGGATCTAAAATAAGGTTACCAGATTTTTATCAATGAATCCGGGAACACTTTTCAACTTCAATGGATTTTGTCAGGGGACTGATCCAGGGACTGTCCCCGGGAAACGGGGACATCTGGCAACCTTAATCTAGGATCAGTCTAGATTGAAAGTAGCATGTTGAGACTGCTGAGGGGCTGGATGAGCCATTTTGGAGCTTCACCAAATAGAGACATGTGTATAGTGTTCAGGTTGCCTGGCAAGTACTTTAAAAATAGCAGCAACAAGTCCTTCACCTCGGTGTTTCTTTAAGGGTTATTATTATTACTACAATTAATTTATTTAGCACCTTCCAAACCACTGCCATAAGGCAATTTTACACATAAGGTAATTGCAAACAATTGAAACAATTATGATGGCAAGTGCCTTTAAAGCAAGACCAAAACCCTAACCAGGGGACACTCATGGGAGAGACCCACTTATCCAGGTGGGAAGGCCTGTGGGAATAAAAATGTCTTCAACCGTTTCCATAAAGTGTCAGCAGAGATCTTGTTGCACAGAACAGGGGCAGCCCCACTAAGCACTAAAAGGACTTCTGCGGAGAGGACTTCTGCAATCTTTGGCACTTGTAGAAGAGACTCTCCTATAGATCACTGCAATCCACAAGGTGTTATAATATGGTGGGCTCTCAAGCAACCTGGCCCTGAACCATCTGATATGTTGGTACCAACATCTAGAACTTGCCGTGGTAGCAAATTAGCAGCTAGTGCAA